CAGCCAACCCTACTCATGTCCTATTCTTGGTGGGAAAATCAGGCTTGCTAGGCTGACCAAGGCTGCAACAAACCCTTAGGCGTCGACGCCCTTACCTGTACGCTGAGACATTAATATGCACTGGGAAGACTAGAGGAATGCTCAATCAAGATAACGGATGCAGGGCCTAGCATCGTGACGCAACAGGTTAACCCGCCACCCATGATGCTGGCATCCCATACTGGAGCGCTGGTTCAAGTCCTAGCTGCTTCACTTCTGATCCAGCTCCCTGCCAATGCACCTGGGAAAGCAGTGGAGGATGGCCCAAGTACCTGGGCCCCTGACACGTGCATGGGGGTCCTGGATGGAGCTCCAGGCTCCTGGCTTCAGCCTGGCCCAGCCCAGGCTGTTACATCATCTTGGGGAGTGAACCAATGGACGCAAGAAAGATCTCCGTCACTCTGCCTTTCAAATAAGATAAAAAGATAACAGACGCAGAATGCCCTGTTCTGGGCTTCACACTCGGTGGAAGCTCCAGGAAGTAAACTTTTATTCCTACCCTGTCTTCAACCTCACCTAGGACCCAGGGATAGCTTCAAGTCCAGCATGCAGAAACACCCGACCAAAGACCAGAGCAGGAGCTGGTGAAGTCCACAAACTAGAGGCAGCCATGGTGTGGTCTGAGGGTCAGGGCCGTAAGGGATCTGGAACAGTCTTTCCTCCATCCCAGCCTGACACCTTTGTGGCCACCTGCCCAAAACGGTCCCAAAATCTGCCACGCGGTTCAGAGGGCCACCAGGCCCCAGTGGCACGGAGTGGAAGGACCAATACGGTCTCCTCACTCTGCCTCAGCCGTCACCAGTGTCTACTGCGGCAACGACAGGTACGCATCAGAGGCCTAGACCGAGTCACCCACATCCCTGCCCCGCCCCGGGCCCATGACACCGAGAGATGCCCTAGGGGTCCCGTGGGGTGGCACACCTAACCACACTCTCCCCTCTTCCAGGTCTGCCTGCAGGGGCTGCTCCTCTGGTCTGTGGCCCCCACCTTCCACTCCCCCCTCTCCCAAGATTGATTTGAAAGACAGAGCCACAGAGAGAGGGGGAAGAGAATCTTCCATCCACCGGTTTGCTCCCCCAGATGGCCACAACGGCCGAAGCTGGGCCAAGTCAAAGCCAGGAGCTTCCTCCGGGTCTCCTGTGAGGGTTGAGCCCAAGCACTAGGGCCATTTTCAGCTGTTTTCCCAGGCAGGGACTGGAAATGGAGAAGCTGGGACATGAACCAGTGCCCATAAGGGAAGCCAGTGTTGCAGGCGGTGGCTTAACCGGCTACACCACAGCGCCAGTGCCTCTACCTTCTACTTCTCAGACAGTCCCTGCCCTGACCGTGCTCTGCCCACCCTTCCCTGGCCTCTGGCTGGTCTGAGGGCTCTGCCCAGGCCAGACCCATGTCTGCCACCATCGACGGCAGCTAGCCACTTCAGCCGCCACCTGTCCACTACCTCCAGTGGCCCCAGTGGAATAGACTGAGGAGAGCCAAATCCTTGGCTTCTAGCAGGTATGGGTCACAAGCGGAAATGACAGCTACTTATCTAAGTACAATTGTTTTGAAATACGCGTTCCCAATATGCTAGATACACGAGTTCTGCGTGGTATAGCAACCAGCACCTTTACAATGCTCTGTTTTGCTTCAGCAACCTGGAAGGAAACAGGGAACTTCACTCTGGGCCCGATTTTAGGGTTGAGGGCAGGGCAGGTTAACAGGTGGTATCCATGTCATACTAAAGTCTGACAGGCCGTGACTGTGTGAGTCAAGCAGTCAGCATACGTGAGTGTCAGGGTAGAAGGCAGAGTGGATGGATTCGTGTTTGTGATGATGGATGGACAACACAAATGTGTGGTACTAGAGTTCAGGAAACCAGCTTTCTTGGGACAGTGCTAAAAAAGGAATATACTGGAACTTTCTGGAAGAGTGACTGTTTTATAGTTTGGGTGGTGGTAATAAGGCTATACGGTGTCAAAACCAAAGAGAGCAGTTAAGACCGGAATGCTTTACTGTATGTAAACTGGACATCAGTTAGAAGGTAACAAGTCCCCTGTGTGGGTCCACGCGTCCACGTGTGCTGCTCCAGGTGTGCGTGTCCGTGACCTTGGCACAGGGTATGGCCTGCAGGAAACCACAGGCGACACCCACCACAGAACCTCACACCGGCCCTCACCTTGGGCCAGGTAAGCCAGCTTCTTCCAGCGGCCTCGACTTCCCAAACCTTCCCAGCCCTCCCCAGGTGCCCATGGAGTAACTTGCCTTCTCATTCTTGGCTGCCAAGGGGCATGGACTGTCCTCCCCGCCCCCTGCCCACTGGGTACCCGTCAGAGCCATGGGCACCCTCCTGTCTCGGCTTCCCCCTTCCGGCGCCTCAGGGCTCTCCCCGGCTAGTGTCTTTCTCCGATTTCAAACATCCTGGGACAACAAGGAAGCCAGAAGAAAGCCCCCAGAATAGCTGGGCCAGTGCCCTTGGAAGGTACCGGGTCCTGGGCCGAGCACTCCCGGGACTGGCCAGCTGCTAATCCAAAGAGAGGCAGCCCCACCCTCTGTTGGGACAAAGGATGCCCAAGTATTCCCTGTAAACCAGACCTGGGCCAGGAGAGAGAAGGCCAACTTTGCCCAAGAGCGCCACCTGGAGGAAGAAATCTTGAACTGCAGGAGGCAGAGAGGAGCTGGAGGGGGGGAGGAATTGAAACAGCAAGAGGGAGATGTAACCACCCAGGTCGAATGCATTGCACCCACAACAGCACTGCATGGGAGAAAGTCAGCTACAAACTGCCTGCGACACAGGGACCCTTCTCGCCCCGTCTCTATGCTGTCACGAGCCCCTCCCCCACCCACAGCAGGCAGGTCGGAAGCCTGGTCTGCCTGGGGTGCAGTAGGGGAGAGAGGCAGCAAGATCAAGAAACAGCAGTCAACAACTCTGTTTTATAGTTTGGAAGGCACAGCAACAAGGAAGGGGGAAAAGAGAAAGATCTCCCATCTACTGCTTCACTCCCCAAATGGCTCCTCCAGCAGCCAGGTCTGGGCCGGGAACTCCATCCTGGTCTCCTACACAGGCAGCAGGGGCCTACGGCAGCTTTGGAAACAGAGCAGCTGGGACTTGAACCGGCGCTCCAACACGGGACGCCAGCGCCGCAAGCAGAGCTTAACCCACTGCGCCACGATGCCAGCCCGGCGTCAGATCCAGTCATGAACTGGGACATTCGGGCTGCTGCAGTCTGTCCTAGAAGACAACCTGCTTCATGACTGCGTCTCCCTGCGTGCTCAGTGCCATCACGCTGCCGCGTGGTGGCTGCCACGGCGGAGTTCAGCAGCCGTAACCCAGGGCTTAGGGAAGCAGACAGGAGCGAACCCGAGGCTTTCCTAGCAGGCTGTTTAAGACGGCCTGGGCAGAGGTCTGGCGGGGCTGGGCCTTCCTCCAACGACAGGTGTGGGTGCTGAACGAATTGAACCCCAGGTGTGGGAATCTGTGATTCCAGTTTCTGACAAGGCCTCAGCTCTCCCCTCTGTAGGGACAGCACCAGCCCAGCCCACACAGCTACAATCCTTATCTGCCCGCTGATGTTTCCACGTGGACAATTCCACATCACTCCCGATTCAGCCGGGCTGGACCTCTACCCCACCCCCAGCCCCAAGTTCTCCTTCCACACAACTCACTTCCTGTGCTTGGTTTTCCACATCCCCCAGCCTCGATGGGCACAGACTCTCCAAACTCTCTGGTCCTACCCTCTCAAGGACCACCACCGCGACTCAGACCCTTATCCCCTCAAGACTCAACAACCTCCCCTGGGAATCCTCAACTCTCAAGGTTGGTGCCAGCCTCCCCCGACACACGCCTGGTGGTGTCACGGACACCTCTGGTGGACGCTTGCTGCCCAAGGAACAAGAGAAAAAGCCCTGCAGGACCCGTTTTCCCAGCCTCTTCCAAAAAGCATTCAACGCTCCCTGAGCCCCACACGCCTGGACCAGCCTCCTGTTGGATAATAGGGACGGACCGGAGACATAGTAGCACGCTCAGATCTAGTGGCCGGAGGCATAGTAGCCGATTCCAAAGAGCGCTCAGCTCTAGTGGCAAGACCGGCAGGCACAGTTAGCAGGGAACAGTCGGTGATAAGATAAAGGAAGGCGCTACCTAAGCTAAAGACTCCTGGGCACGACCTTTGGCTCCCTCCTGTCTGAACACTTCTCATTGCAAGTCACCCACACGCTAGGGCCCCTCCTCTGACCGCTCTGGGTTCCCAGGTGCCCGTCCCTTCCCTGTGCCTGGGGTTTAATGCACCCGTTGAACTCCTCCAGCGTGTCTCGGTCCACACGGTTCATCTTCCAGAAGGTTCTCTGGCAGGGGCCCGTTCTGGGTCAGACGCACCTGCCCTGCGCCCCCAGCACCTGCTAACCCTATGGTCGCCCTAGACTCCCAGCTCCTGGACGGCCGACCACGCGTGGCTCTCGCTCACGCAAGGCTGCGCTCAGCATCTGGATAAGCAAGCGCAAGGGAGGCAGGAAGAGAGCAGTTCCGCAGGACAAGGACTAGGAGACACCTACCTAAACCCAGAAAGTGAACGGTGTGCGTGTGAGTGTGTGCGCGCGCGCATGCGCAGGAGTGAAGCTTCGGTTCCTTAAACTGAGCAACCTGTGACTTCCCCACCTTCACAGGAGAGCGCGGGGGCAGGCCTGAGGGGGCTCGGGGCTCGGGGCTCGCAGGGCGGTGCCCGGCGCCGAGGCCGCGTCCCCTCCAGGGTCCGGGCCGGCTGCGGCCACCGCACTGGCCAACTCCCGCGGGGGAAGTGATGGCCCCATCTTCCCAGCCTGCCCCGGGTCTGGGACGCCCCTTGCCGCCCTCTGTCTTCAGGGGTTCAGACCCTACTCTGGCCTCCAGGGGCAAGGGGGCGGGTGTGGCCGACGCCGGCGCGGGGGCTCGAGCCCCCCGATCCACTTTGCGCGACCTCGGCGGGGCGCCCGGTCAGAGCCCCCACCTGCAAAGTGGCTCCTCCTAGGGCGCTTCCAGCCTAAAGCCCGTCCTCTTCCACCTCTCGGGGGAGGCGTCCCCGTCCCACTCCGACTGCGGGTCCCCCAGCGGCCACACGGCCCGCGAGTCGCGACGGCCACTCGTGCGGGAAGGTTCCCGAGCGCCGTCCCGCCGCCTCGCTCCGCGACTCCCGGAAGCGGCCGCGGTCTCGCGAGATCGGGGCGCCGAGGCGGGCCGGAAGTCGGTCCGCTCTCGCGAGGACTGGGGCGCTGAGCCGGGAGGTGCTGTGCGCAGTGTGTGGAGGTCGTTGGAGTCACCTGCTCGCCGCCCGCTCCTGCGCCTGCCGGCCCGCGCCCCTCCCGTCCCAGCCATGCTCTCCGCCCTCGCCCGGCCCGCCGGCGCCGCGCTGCGCCGCAGCTTCAGCACCTCGGCCCAGGTAGGCCCTGCAGGCGCGGGGCTGGGGGGCTCCCGCGCGCTGACCCACGTGCAGCCCCCGGGCCGCCGGCGAGTGTGACTGCCAGCCCGGGAGGGGCGGGGGAGACGGGAGAGGAGCTCCCCCCACCCCATACTGGGTCCCCGGGACAGCCCGCGCCCCTCCAAGGTTAGGCGGCGTGGGCGCAGCCGGTCTCTCTTGCAGCGCCCGTGTGAGTGTGTGCGTGCACGGTCATCGGGCAGCGCCCTGCTCCGGCCAGCGGCCTGCTGCCCCCTTAAGAACCTTGCCGCACGCCCCTTCGTGCGGAGGGCGGACTGGGCCTGCTCCCCGGTGCTGTGGCGGTGCCGGCTTGGCCTGGGACCACTTAAGGCCGAGCTATTTTTAGCCGTCTTCCAGGACCGGGGTTCTCGAAGTGCGGGGCTTGGGTGGGAACCACCTGGCCCGCCGGGCCTCTGCCTTTAACAGGTGCCCTGCTCGCCACCGGAGGGAGTCCGGTTCCATGCAAGTTGGAGACGTCCACGCTGCCTACCACACCCAAGGGGGAGGCGCTTATTCTTAGAGGGAATTCTAAATTTCCTGTCCTGTAGACTCGGTTCATTTCAGAAATAAAGTTGCAGAAGAACGCGGAGTATCTGTGCTTGCCAACAGCTGTGCTGGGCGGGGAATCCCAGGATGAGAGGGGGCACCTGCGCTGGGCCTGGCGTGCACACAGCACAGGTGGAGGCGATGATTGATGCTGGGGGGGGGCGGGGATCCCAGGATGAGCTGGGGCCGTGCCTTGAGGGCAGTGAGGGTACCGGCAGGCTCACACGTGGGGCGGCGGCTGGAGGGTTTTGAGCAGGGCAGTGCCTTGGTCTTAGCTCCCACTTTCTCAGGATGGTCCCAGGTGGAGGGAGGCGGCCGGGCTGCTCCTGTCGTGCCAGCTGGGGAGGTGGTAAGACGCGGTTAGATCCCGAGTGTTACAGTGGAGCCAGCAGGATTTGGCAGTGAACGCTTGGATGAGGGAGTGAGAGGGTCACGAGTGACACCAAGATTTGGGGTCTCGGGGTCAGCGTTTGCCGAGCTGGGCGGGAACTCTGGGAGGGAGGGGGTCTGGGTAGGGTCTGTCTTTGAGGCTCGCTGAGTTTGCAGTGCCTGTGGGACACAGCAGTGGCCGCAGGGAGAAGGCAGCTGGGTCACTCAGGCAGGTGGGCTCGAGCCAACGGCTCGGGGTCTGCAGACTTTGGATCCAGGAGGTGCTGGGCTCCCAGCCCCAGCGAGGTAACTGCTACCTATGGGAGCGGACCTCAAAGAGATCGTGGCGGCGGGGGTGTGGAATGAAAAGATTGTTCATTAAAAATCCGTGTATGCCAGGTCCTCAGGCCCCAGGGGCTGTGTCTGATGAGAACCGCGTGGGCTTCAGGCACTTCTTGCACCAGAATAAACGAGTGCTGTCGTCCATCCGTGAACCTTCTGAAGGGTCCTCATTTGTACTAATACATACAGTATCCTATAAACCCAAAAACGGGAATTTGGAAACAGCATCACAGACCCACCCGGATAAGGCAGACTTGCAAATGAGGGGAGAGTTACTGTGTATCCACTTGGAAAACTGCAGGCCTCAGGGCCTGTTGGACCTGGAAGGCGGCTCCTTACGGAGATCCTGGGGCAGAGCAGGGGAAGGGGGCGGCGGCTGTGGGTTGTGTTTCCCGTGAACAGCGAGGAGGCTGTCGCTGAGTGCTGAGTGCGCTGTGGCCCGGGCTCAGCACCGCGAAAGCAGAGGCGGGTGAGGAGGGCCCATTCCCTGTGCCTGCCCTGCGGGCTCACCCAGCGCCCGGAGAGGCTGTCTCTTGGACTCAATTCTTCTCTGGATAAAAGTAAAAACACATTTCAGTGTCCTCACCTGGCACCCCCAGGGGGTCGTCTTGTGCCCCAGGCCGAGTGCTCTGGGCACGAGGAGCTTCGGAAGGTTCTGGAGCAATGACTGGGGCTTGGATTCTTGAGGTGGAGCAGGCTGGGCCGCTGCCTGCAGAGCCCACAGCCCGTATCAGTGCTGGTTCAGGTCCCAGCTTCCTGCTAGCGCAGCCCCCGGGAGGCAGCGGATGATGGTCCGAGCGCTGGGGTTCCTGGCTCCACGCCTGGAACCTGGCCCAGCCTGCTTGGATTCGAGTCCTGGTTACGGAGTACGCCTTTAGTCTTAATTTCCTAAGCAGAAGCCCTGCGTGTGCGTTGTCTGGGTTTAGTTCTGGCCAGTGATGACCGAAGCCTGTGGCTGGCCGTCATCAGCCGCTGCAGGACCTGGGGTGCACGGGGCTTCGAATCCCTGCACCTGCTGTTCTCCCTGCAGCCGCCCCTGCTCATTTCTGAGTTGAGATGAGAGAGGAGCTCCGTGGAGTGGGGCCAGGAGGGGCAGGGGCCTTCGAATGTGGCAGTGAGCCTTGAGGGCTGGGGTTCAGCTCCGGCAGCTTCCTCACGGGACTCTCCCTTTTTGTGTAAAGCCCAGATTGAGGAGTGAACATTGCCTCTTGGTTCTGATTGTGAGAATCAAGTGAAGAATGACTCAGCTGAGCCTGCCCTGATAAATGTTGCTTCCAGCACTGGGAGTCCACGAGGTTGCTGGCTGCCTTACGCAGTGCGGCCGTGTCATCACTCAGTCCTGCCTCGTAGGAAAGGCTGTTTATCAGTGCCCTTTGAGACCCTGCCCTTCCCCTCCCCCCACAATGGGTTCTGCCCCTGGTGCTCTCCCTCTGTGTTGCCTTTGCAACCTGTCTCGGTGTGGATGCTAAATGACCTCTGGACCAAGCTCCTTGCCTTGGCGCAAGGCCCACTTCCAGAGACCATGATACGTACCAGGGTACGTCAGAAAGTTCATGAAGAAGTGGAACCAGAGTTTGTGTTGGTTTGAAAATTTTTAAAGTGTTTGAAATCCACGCCCATGAGTGTTCTCCAGACTTCTGGAAGACGCGGACCAGGAAGGGACTGTGCGTGGAGCTCAACGTTTTGGGCCAGAAAGTTGGGGTCATCCCAGATCCCCCCACTCATCATATGGGCCCCTACACCCACGTGGGAGACCCGGATGGAGGGGAGGGAGTGACCGGAATCCACTGACACAGGCCCACAGAGCACCCGCAAGCCTCCACCTTGCGGCCATCACCTTTACCCACCGTGAGCCACGCTCAGACTAGTGCAGTCGCTGCCTCCTCCGTCCCCCATCCGTCCTCAGCTCTTCTCATGTCCTCCAAGAACGGATCTGGTCGTGTTCTCCCCGGCTTCTGAGGCCGTGCAGCGGCTCCCGTTGCTCCTGTGCCTGGCCCTCAGTGCCGGCCCTGCCCTTCTGCCGTCACGTGTGTGTGTTGGCGCTCAAGCCGCGGAGGCGTGTACACTGCCTTCCCTCAGCGGCTGTCCTCACATCTCCCCCGCTAGCCCCACCACCTGGCAAACTGCTCGTCCTCCAGGACCCTCTCCGACAGCGTGTCCCGGGTCCCCGTCTGCGGCACGGCTCACATGGGCTGCTGCTTCGATCCAGTTCGCAAGGCTGGTCCCTGGAGCCAGCAAGCCGGTCTGGCCTGTGGCTGGAACGGGCGAACAGGCGGCCACTTTGGGACGCAGTCTGGCAGCTTCTCAGAAACACGACCCATCAGTTCTGCTGCTAGGTGCATATCCAGAACTAGAGACAGGTGCCAGCAAACGCCAGTACGTGAGTGTTCATGGCGGCACTGCCTGTTAGAGCCAAAAAATGGAAACTGCGGGTGGTGCTGAGCTGTGTGGTCTCCGTGCACGGACCCACTCGAGTGCAGGATAGGGATGGACAGGGTCAGGTGTGACGACCGCTGGATGCACAGTCCAGGGAGGACAGAGAAAGTCAGGTCTGACCTCATAAGCTAATAATAAGAAGCCGCTTGTCCCGGCCCTGGCCTTTTAGGTGTGAGTGTGGCAGTCTGCCCTGGACCCCAGCTTTGGGGGACCCGTGACTGCACTAAACTGTATCCCTTTTTCAACTAAGCCAGAAGGCCCAGGGACCCCCTGCTTATCAAGCCCACAGAGGAATCACCCCGGGCGGGCGTTGCAGAGTGGGTGTCAGGGAGCAGGGCCTGACGGCCCTGCAGAGCCGGGGGTTGGGGGCTTGCACCTGTAGCTCAGTAGGTGAGCCGCTCGTCCAGCCCCAGCTCTTCCCAGCAGTCTGAGCCAGTGTCCTGCATCCCTGGGCAAGGCAGGCCCTCGGGAATGGGGATCCAGAATGTGACCGCTGTGTCTTGCCGTGGCCCCACCACAGCAGGAGACCCAGCACAGCCTTGCAGGCACCGTGCAGATCCGTCTGATGCCATGAACATCCTATGAGTTCTTTCTCTCTGCTTCTTTCTAGAACAATGCTAAAGTAGCCGTTCTGGGGGCTTCTGGGGGGATCGGCCAGCCCCTCTCCCTCCTCCTGAAGAACAGCCCCCTAGTCAGCCGCCTGACCCTCTACGACATTGCGCACACCCCCGGGGTGGCTGCCGACCTGAGCCACATCGAGACCCGAGCAACTGTGAAAGGTACTGCGCGCTCACCCCAGAGGCTCCGGCTTCCTCTGCAGGGGGCAGGACCCCTGGAGTGAGACCTTGGGTGGAACTGGACGGGTGGAGACTGGGGTTTCCACATGCAAGCAGAATTACGCTTTATAAGTCGTGGCGCCATTTTGGATTTGCAGTGTCCTCTAGAAAAATCCGGTCTGATCTGCCCAGTGTTTACTTTTGCTGATCTGAAAAGGCGGAGGGGGGGGGGGCGGGTGCCTGCAAAAGGGGGCGTCCAGCCTCGCCCACAGGGCTCGGCGACTTCTCCAGCACCTCGTTCACAATTACGCATCCTGCTAACTTGGCCTTCGCAGTACATCACGGTTACCACAGCTCGGCAAACTGCTGCCGAAAGCGTTTCTGGGACCGTCCTGTAACTTCTCAATCACTGGTTATGCCCGTACCGTTCACCACCGGGCTCCTGCCCATTTTACTAAAAACAAACGTCAGTTGTGATAAGTAACTTTATCCTGACATCTTGTTTCTTAACACGCTAAAGTGGGATTGGCGAGCAGGCCTGTTTCCAAGCTGTAGAGCCCTACAAGATGGGAGCAGATTTGAGCAGATTTGAGACATTGTTGCTGATTTCCCTGAGGTCTCTGAAGGCCCACTGCTGCCGCAGCTGGTGGCCGCGGGGGCCACAGACACATCTGAGCCTGGTTGATCCCAGGGCCTTTTCTCCCGTGGCCTTGGGCGCCTCCTGAGCCAGGCTGGTTGTGTGGGGGCCGGGGCAGCTGTCAAGGGGAGGAGACGGTGTCCGGGGTGGGGGGGGCTGCTGGTTGGCGCTGAGCCCGGCCTCCCCAGGCTTTGTCCCCCAGGCATGCTGGCCTCCCTGGGCCTGAAGAAGTGAGGCTGCTGCTAACGAGGTGTGTTTTCCAGGCTACCTCGGCCCCGAGCAGCTGCCCGACTGCCTGAAGGGCTGCGACGTGGTGGTGATTCCGGCCGGGGTCCCCAGGAAGCCAGGTGTGTGCGACAGCCCTGCCCAGCGTGCCCTCCGGGTGCGCCGCAGACTCCAAAGGCTCCCGTTGCCCGGAAGATCAAGACCCTCCCAAACACACACACACACACACACACACACACGCACGGGTGCCGCGCTCTCGCCTGCTCCCGGCGTTCCGCCGTCCCTGGGCCAGTGCCTTTCTCCCACCCAGCCCCACCGGGGGTCCTACGAGCCCTGAGAACTCTTCTCAGCTGCCCCCAGACCCCTGGCCCTTGATGCACTGGGCTGTCTTCCCCACAACGTAGACTCTAGACCTCCAGCAGGAGCCCTTGTTGCTCGTGGCTGGGTTTCTGGCAGCGACTGACACAGCACGTGACAGCTGCGTGGAAGTGCCTTGTGTTCCGTGAACGTTGTTTGCACTGGATCGTTGCAGGCATGACGCGGGACGACCTGTTCAACACCAACGCCACGATCGTGGCCACCCTGGCTGCCGCCTGCGCCCAGCATTGCCCGGAAGCCATGATCTGCATCATCGCCAACCCGGTGAGTGCCGCTGGGTCAGCTCCCGGCGCCAGGCCTGTGCTGGGGGCACGCCGCAGCACCGCGCGCCTCCAGAAAGAGGAAGCAGCTCAGTGAGCGCCTCTGGTTTACTTCCAGAACGTTCCTCCCGGCGTGAGCCCCGTGGGAGGGTTTTCGTTTCTTTGGAAAGGCAGAAACAGATGCACACACCTTCCGTCCACTGGTTCACTCCTCCGATGCCCACAGCAGCCAGGGCTGGGACAGGCCAGGGGCTGAGGCTCCACCACGTCTCCCGTGTGGGTGGCAGGGACCCAGGTACCCGAGTCAACTCCTGCTGCCTCCCCGTGTGCGTCGGCAGGAAGCTGGAGTTGGGGACAGAGCCACGACTCCAACCCAGACGCTTGGATGCCGGCTGCAGGCACTCCAGGCGGCACCTCGAGGTGGCCTCTGCCCCAAACACCTGCCCCCCTAAATACAGGTTTTAGCCTGGTTCTTCCAGCTAACTGTGTCCTTTGTGCAAACCGCCTCCCCTCTGTGGAGCTGCTCCCCCGCACTCGCAGCCTCCCAGCCCTGCTGGCTGGGCTTTGCAGGAAGCTCCAAGAGCCAGCCCACACCGGGCACAGCTGTGGGCCCCGAGCCTCACCTGGCGGGGCCTCAGGTGTCCCGCGGCAGAAACTGCCCCCCCCCGCCCCGCCCCTCGCTGAGTCCCAGCGCTGGTGTCTGAGTGGTGACGGTGATGCTGAGGCCTCTAGAGAGAGGCACCTGCTAAGAGGAGGTAGTAGTAGCTGTTGGACTTGTAGGGAGCTAACAGTGCCTAATGCAGACTCGACTGGTTTTGTAGGCGCCTGCGCGAGGAGGGTGGACCAGTTTGGCCCAGCAGCTGGGTCACCAGTTAAGATGCCCGTGTCCCCTGATAGGAGGCCTGGGTTCAATTCCCAGCTCCACCTCCTGACATAGACCCCTGAGGCAGCAGTGGTGGCTCCGGGACGTGGGAGCCCTGGGGGGAGTTCCTGCTCCTGACTGCCGGATCCGGCCCAGCTCCACTGAGCATTTAGGGAGTGAGCCAGTGGGTGATTCTCTCTCCCCACTCCCCAAATAAACAAATAAAAATGAAGTTCGTCTGAGCTTTCTGCTGCTGGGCTGGGCTGTCTCCTGTTGGGAGTGGCCACACCGGTGTCAGCCCAGCCAAGTAGAAGGTGCCGGTGGAGCCGTGATCACGTTGAAGTCGATGGCTGAGAGGCACCCAGGGAGTGAGCGTTCCCCCGCAGGGAAGGGTTTCTCCGTTTGCCTGGAGCGGGCGTCGTGTGAGCAGGCGGCCTCCTGTGCGGTTGGTCGGGGCGGTGTGATTGGCACCTGTGGACCTGGCGGTGGTCGCCGAGAAGGTTGTCCCTTGTGCTGCTTGCTGGGCTGTGCCCTCGGGACGCAGAGCAGATAACGCACGTCTGGCTTCCCAGGTGAACTCCACCATCCCCATCACGGCGGAAGTCTTCAAGAAGCACGGAGTGTACAACCCCAACAGGATCTTCGGCGTGACGACCCTGGACATCGTCAGAGCCAACACGTTTGTCGCCGAGCTGAAGGTGAGCGCTGTGGCAGCTGCCGTTCGAGGCACCGCGTGGGCTTCACCGAGGCCACGTGATGGGCCCTGCGGGTTCTGCGGCAGCAGCTCCTGTCTTGCACTTCTAGAATTCTCTTTCCTTGGCCCTTCCCTCCCGCCAGGCTGGTCCAGGCCCCTCTTCCTTCCCGGCCACCCCATGTGGCTGTCCCAGGCATGGCGGTGCCGGCTCGCAGCATCCCCTCCAGGGGGCTGGAGCTCTGAGCACAGCCAGGACTGTGCCCTATCCCTTTGTTTTTATTTTGTTCTGTTTAAGATCTATTTATTTCTTTGAAAGGCAGTGTGACAGAGGGGGAGGGGCCGAACTTCCATCCGCTGGTTCACTGCCCAGATGGCTGCCACAGCCCGGGCCAGACCAGGCTGAACGCAGCCAGGCACCTAGAGCTCCATCTGGGTCTCCTGTGTGGGTGCAGGGGACCCAAGCACTTGGGCCGTCATCCACTGCTGTCCCAGGCGCGTTAGCAGGGAGCGGGATCAGAAGCAGAGCAGCCAGGACTTGAACTGGTGCTCTGACACGGGACACGGCTCTAACCCGGCGCACCGTAATGCCGGCTCCTCGTTTCTTTGTTTTGTCTGTGGGTGTGTCCAGGATCAGCGCGGTGGGTGGGTGGCTGTGATGGGTTTTGTACTCCATGGGCTTGTTGAGAGTAATCAACCTTCACACTCTGGTGCCCAGGGCCTGGATCCGGCTCGGGTCAACGTTCCTGTCATTGGCGGCCATGCTGGGAAGACCATCATCCCCCTGATCTCGCAGGTGTGTTGGGTGTGCTGAGGTCAGGAGCAGCTGGCGGGCGCCTGCCTGGAGCTCTCTGGACGGACTGGGGAAGGTGGGGTCCCAGGGGTGTGGCCACCCCATCTGTGTGGGCGGTGCTCAAAGCAGCCGGCCCTGACCAGGGGGACCACTGCGAGGAATGTCACTGCGCCCCGGGCCAGGTCGGAGCAGGCCGAGGGCTGGGGAGACTGAGTGGAGACGGGAGCGCTCCTGAGTGGAGCACTGAGGACCCTCGGGGTGGTTTTGCCCCAAATGCACGACCTCACAAGAAGACCGCAGAGCAACGGCTCCCGCTTCCCAGAGGGGGGTGGTCTCCAGACGGAGACACGGACGGGCTGAGGGACGTACTGGGTGTGGGGCAGGGCCCCAGGCAGGGCCTACAGTTGGGTCCGTGATGCACCGGTGCTGTCTGGGGGCTTCCACGGGCGACCAGAGCATCTCACACCCTTGGCCTTGGCTTGCAGTGCACGCCCAAGGTGGACTTTCCCCAGGACCAGCTGGCGGCACTCACTGGGCGGATCCAGGAGGCCGGCACGGAGGTGGTCAAGGCCAAAGCTGGAGCAGGTAGCGTCAGGGCTGGGTGGTCAGCCTGGGCTGGCCAGGCCTGGGCTTCATTTGCATTCGCCCCATAAGAAAGCTCCACCGGAGGTGGCGGCTGAGCATGCTTGGTGGGGGAGGGGTGATCTTTGAGGCTGGCAAAGCTAACTCCATGCCATTCACTCGCAAGTGAAGGGACGCTGACCTAGGTTCTCGACGGGTGCGCGGCTTTGGCAAGGGCTTCGCTGGGCAGGGCAGGCTCCCCTGGCGCGGAGCCGCCAGCTGACCCACCTGCGCCGCCCTAGGCTCTGCCACCCTGTCCATGGCCTACGCCGGCGCTCGCTTTGTCTTCTCACTGCTGGACGCGATGAACGGCAAGGAGGGGGTCGTCGAGTGCTCCTTCGTGCAGTCCCAGGAAGCTGACTCCTCCTACTTCTCCACGCCGCTCCTGCTGGGGGTAAGCGTCCTGGGCGGGGCCCACTGACCGCTGGCTCCAGGGACCAGTGCAGTGACCACACGTGCCTGGTGTGCGCCTGGAGACAGAGTGCAGAATTGGGTTCTGGGAGGAATCATCCTGGAGAGTCTCTCCCTTGGGGCTTTGCCAGCTGGTCCTGGCGCTGCCCGGGTATCTGATGGGGAGGCGCTCTGTCCGTGTGCAGGCCGCTCCTGTGACGGCTGACCCTGGCGCTGCCCAGGGCGTCTAGTGGGGAGGCGCTCTGTCCGCGTGCAGGCCGCTCCTGTGACGGCTGACCCTGGCGCTGCCCAGGGCGTCTAGTGGGGAGGCGCTCTGTCAGGTGCAGGCCGCTCCTGTGACGGCTGGTCCTGGCGCTGCCCGGGGCGTCTAGTGGGGAGGCACTCTGTCAGGTGCAGGCTGCTCCTGTGACGGCTGGCCCTGGCGCTGCCCGGGTGTCTAGTGGGGAGGCGCTCTGTCAGGTGCAGGCCGCTCCTGTGATGGCTGGTCCTGGCGCTGCCCGGGTGTCTAGTGGGGAGGCGCTCTGTCCGCGTGCAGGCAGGCTCTGTAGGGAAGGCCTCCCGCGCCAGCCTGCTCCTGTGACCCCAGGGCCTGCGAGTGCCCCCAGCCTGGGATTTTCTGGCCCAGGCCTTCTTGATTGCTCGTTCCTTGCCCCACTGGCTTCACCTTTGAAAGTCTGTCTGGGACACGGCCCAGCTGACCTGCAGGTCCTCCTGGGTCTGCAGCGAGCAGAAGCCCCTGGGCGGCACCGGCTATGGAGCCAGGTTTGTTTGTTCCATGCAAGGCAGGCACTCGGAGGCCTTGCCCAGAGACTCTGAAGTGTAGAGCCCCATGACTGGGCACAGAGACCCACACACCCGTGGCTGGGCTCAGCTCCCGGGTCAGTGCAGAGCCTGCAGGGGACCGCACCCAGGTCTGGCCGGCTCAGAGCCAGGGAACTGGGCGGCACAAGGTCACCTCGAGGCTGAGGCCCAGACACTGCCCAGCGTGGGGAGGGGAGACGGACCGCGAGGCGCCTGTTGGTCCTAATGTCAGGTGGTGACCCAGTGGACGACATTTGACTGGTGAATTTTAAAGTGTTTCCTCAGTCCTTTAGCAGCCTGGGGAAGGACCAGAACGCCAGGGGTGTGCTGGCAGGCTGAGTAACGCCCAGTTGGCTGACTTGGTGTTTCATGTGCCGGGTAGCCCGCCTGCTCCCACAGCTCCGTGGAGGTGCGGGCCAGGAGCTTGTCTTAACATAAGGAAACAAGGAGCCTGAACAGTTGTCCAGGGTACGTGCGCAGGGAGCGCCGGAGCCAGGCCCCGCCTCAGCTCCGGCCCCACGTGCAGGTCTGAGGTGGGCGGCGGTGAGGAGGCTCGGGGGTGGGGGAGCTTCGTGGAGCCCTCACATCCCGCACCCCCTCTCTCCTGCAGAAGAAGGGCCTGGAGAAGAACCTGGGCATCGGCAAGGTGTCCCCTTTCGAGGAGAAGATGATCGCCGAGGCCATTCCCGAGCTGAAGGCCTCCATCAAGAAGGGCGAGGACTTTGTGAAGAACATGAAGTGAGGGGCGCGCGAGCAGCCGGCGGCCCGTGTCCCCCAGAGCCGGGCCCGGCGCCCTGCTTCAGTGATGGTCGTGTGCACGGGGCCACCCCGGGGTGGCACGCTGGTCACCGGCGCGTCAATAAAAGCCGTCTGAGTGTCTGTCCCAGGACCCCCAAACGTGTGCTTTGCTTCTTCCCCGCCGGGACCTGCCGCTCACCTCTCGGCCTTACCAGTCTTCGTTGCCAGATGCGGCTTCGGTGTTTGACTGAAGCACGGGGCGTCCGTCGGCAGCGGCGAGGAGGGCCCAGGTGTTCGCTCCTGGATGGGATCGATGCCCGACACCCGTCAGTTCCTGCTCCCAGCCCTGCTCTTTGCACGGTTGCGTCATCGCGCTCGGGCGCCCGGGGCGTGTCCCCCTCAGAGTGGCCTTTTGCTCTGATCGATCCAGAGTTTGGCCTTCTCCTGCCCCTGGTGCTGTTGTATTTTCTGGCTGAGCAAACGTCCCCGACTTCTGCGCTGAGCTGCCTTGTCCCTCCCCCACCCCCCCGCCTGACCATGCCCCCATAGGGATAGGGACAGTGGAACGGCGGAGCCAGAGCCGTGAGGATGTGGGCGGGCACGCTGTGCTGTGTGTGGTTTGGGACGGGCTGGGAGGCACTGCGGACGCCCAGGCCCCGTGTCGGAGCTCCTGGCTTCAGATCCCCGCTCCTGCGGTGCCACCCGGGAGCAGCAGAAGTGGCTCCGGGAGTTGGGTCCCGGCTTCTGCCTGGCCCAGCCCTGGCCATCGTGTGAGCCTGGGAAGTTCGATCTCTCTCTCTGTCTCTCTGCAAATAAGATGTTTGACATTTAAACCAGAAAATTTTAAAGAGTGGCTTCAGAGTCTGGAGAAGGGATTGAGGTGGGGGAGTTACAGGGAGAGCCAAGTGCTCCCAAGGAGCCGCAACCTGGGAGTGGAAACAGCTCTGTCCCTGAGAAGGGCAGGCCACGGGATGACCATGACCTGCTGTGGGGGAGGGGGTGGCCACACGGTGGGTGGACCCTCCTTTATCCACGGCAGCTCTTTTAAAATTACCGAAATGTGGTTTTGTTTAAGATTTATTTTTATATTTGAAAGGCAGAATTACAGAGAGGCAGAGAGGTCTTTCATCCGCTGGTTCACTCCCCAGATGGCCACAACAACCAGAGCTGCACCAAACCGGAGCCAGGAGCTTCTTGGGTCTCCCACGTGGGTGCAGGGGCCCAAGCACTTGGGCCATCCTGCACTGCCTTCCCAGGCCACAGCAGAGAGCCGGATTGGAAGAGGAGCAGCTGGGACTCCAACTGGCGCCCATATGGGATGCTGGCACTGCAGATGGCAGCTTTACCCACTAGGCCATAGCACCGGCCTCCCCAAAATGGGTTTATCATAAAGAGGGATGCGATTGTTTTCTTGAAGCTGGCGTTCATTGTATAAAACCTAAAAAGTTGGCAGGAAAGTGATTGCCACACACTTCACGCGTTGGGACCTTGCCCCACAGACCACAGTCCCTCCTCCCACGCACGTTGCTTTGAGGCCACTTAACTTTTCAGGGTTCTAGACAGACGGGGTTCAGCTGGGCGAGTCCCTCTGGCAGGAGAACGTCTGGTGTGGTGGCAGGAGTTTGGGAGACGCTGGAAGGGTGGTTCCGCTTTCCCGCAGCGAGGAGGCAGTGCCGCCAGGCTCGCAGGCTAGGCCCAAACTGGCACAGCATCACTGGGGTGCCCTTCTCTCGGTCCAAGCAAGTCACGAGGCAAGCCCAGGTGTGTGTGGGAAGGGACCACGCAGGGCGGCGGACACCAAGGAGCCTGGTCTTTGGAGACGCTGCCACGCCGCATTCTTTCACTCCAAGCGCCGGTATGTTTTCCCTTTATTTCATTTGGAAGACGCCTCCCCCCTCCCCTCTGCTGAGGCTGAGCCAGAACCAGGAGCTGGGAGCGCAGGAGCGCGGTCACGTGAGCCATCCCCGCTGCCTTCCAGGGTCTGCGTTAGTTCGCAGGACGCTGGAGTCAGGAGCTGGGGCCGCACTTGCAACTCCAGGTGTCCTCCGACTGCTAAGCTGAACACCTGCCTCTCCGTGTCACTTGTTAAATAGCCAGATCATCTTTAGGGTGAACGTAGCAACTTTGCCCACTGTGCCTAGATAAATTTTTTTATTTATTTGAAAGAGTTCTCACAAAGAGACAGAGGTGAGGAGAGAGAGGTCTTTGGTCCACTGATTCACTTCCCAAGTGGCCACAAGAGCAGGGCTGGGCCAGGCTGAAGCTTCTTCCCGGTCTCTCATGTGGGTCCAGGGGCCCACGCACTTGGCCACCCTCCACTGCTTTCCCAGGCACATTCACAGGGAGCTGGATCAGAATCTCGAACGGTGCCCACATGGGATGCCAGCACTGCAGGTGGCGGCTTTACCCGCTATGCCACAGCGCTAGGCCCAGATAATCAGCTTTTCACCGCAGAGAGCATGATTGGAATATCACTGTGCTTTCAGACCCCGGTCTCCTGGCCGTTCTATATGCAAAGCGCTCTGCTAGCTCTACGTGGAGGGCACTTGGCTGTCTCCTGGGGTCCTGGCAACAGCCTGACAGGGAGGACCTAGGATGGGGTCATGTCAGCTTGTGTCTTGGCTTCTGATGGTTGCTGCTCACCTCCACATACCAGCAGATGCCACACACAGCCTCCTGTTTAAGATGCAGGTGGGTGCCTGGCCCTGCCTCTCAGAGGTTCAGTGGCAGGTGTCTGGCACGGTGGTTAAGTTGCTAATTTGGACACCTGCATCCCATGCCACAGAGCTTCATTCAAGTCCCAGCTCCCTGCTAGTGCCCTCCTTGGGAGGGACTTAGGTCCCTGCCACCCATCTGAGACCTGGATCCCGGCTTCAGCCTGACCCAGCCCTGGCTGTTGCAGGCATTTGAATAGTAAACCAGTGGGTGGAAACTCTGTTTCTCTGCCTTTCAGATAAAAATGGACAAAAAAATTTTTTTGAACACATACCTCAGAAGACCCAGAACTCTTCTAGGTTATGCTGAGGGAGAGCCCCACTTTGGAACCAGACTGCCATGGAACTCTGCGCCCTGCAGGGCCTGCTCCTGTCACTCAGAGACTCCAGACGAGCCAGGTGCCTGAGAACCAGCTAGAAAATGCGGAGGACCTGCTGCAGGACTCGAGAGAGGACGAGCTTGTGAATGGGAGAGTCGGGGAAGACTGTCCCCGTGGACACCCGGAAGGGAGGAGGAGCAGACGGCAGCAGGCCGGCCCTGCAGGTTGGCTGGACCTCAGCCAGCGGGAAGGGCAGTTCGGGCGAGGTGGGCCTTGAAGGGCCATCTGCCTGGCAGCACAGGGCCAGCAAGGGGGAAGGCAGGCCAGGGTGGAGAGTGCTGAAGAGCCCTCACGCCGCGGGCGGTGGGGACAGGATGGCAGAGGTGCTGAGCCCAGTGGGTGCCATCCTAGGATGTGGCTTCCCAATCTGCACAACAGCGCTGGCGCACAGGCAGGTGGCGGCTCAGGAGCCCGGGGCCGCCCAGCCTGCACTCGCAGACAGCCCCCAGGCGGCGTCCCCGCGCCGGCACGCGCGCCACACTTGCAGGAGCTGCCGCGACGGGCGCTCGTCAGCAGACAGGCTGAGGGCCAGAAGTGGGGTGGCGGTGAGCGGGAGGGGCGGGGGCCAGGGACCTGGAGCAAAGCCTCAGCCTCTCCGTGCGGCCCCCAGAGGCCCTGCAACCAGCTGCCTCCAGGAGTTAATTCGGAAGCAAAAAGAATCGTGCCAAGAAGCCACGCTGGGTAATCAGGGGGAAGCGGAATGGCGGGGCTCTACAAAGGCTTAAGCCGCAATGACCCTGACCTCCATTAGGAGGGACTTGTCCACTGCAGGCCACACCTCTGCAGTCCCCTCCCATGGCCGGGAGGGGGAGCTGGAGGCTGCTGCAGCACAGTGGCTTAGGGCCCGGCTAGGTCAAGTGCATGGAGTGCGGATTAGCTTTCCAGAGCCAAATCCGGCTGCCGCTCTGTTTGATCTCTGCTCATCCAGGCAGGGTGGGGACAGCTGCCCCCAGACAGGGAGAATGGAGGCCTGTGGAAGCCAGCTCCCATCGTGGGAGCCTGGGGTGGGCTTCAGGGGGTGGGTCTGGGAAGACCCCATCACCACCAGCAAACCAGGTCAGAAGCAGGGCGGTGCCCACAAGATGAGCTAGCCAGGAAGCCTGGGGTGCTCCAGGGCCCTTTGTACACAGCAAGGACGGGTGACTGTTCCCAGCGCCCCAAGAGGGGCTGACCAGGAGGAGGAGCAGAGCTGCGGCCCCTCCCTCCAGCCGCCATCAACCCACACCTTGCACCTGCCTGCTCCAGGGCGCACGCTGCTTGGGGAGCAGCCGGGAGAGCCGGCCTCCGTTCCTGCTCCTCAGTAGCTGCTCCCCCGGTGCAGGCCCAGGCAGAGGGGGGTGCCTGGCTGGCTTGCAGCAGGACAGCTGGGACTGTGGTGAGAAAGACACCGCTGAGCCGACTACTCTACGGCTGCGGCCCCTCTCCAGGGACGCTTCCCCCCCATGGTACAGGAACACCTCGCAGCATGGGGTTTCCCAAACAGGTCGGCCAGTGCCCAGCTACGTCTAGGGGTGAAATAATACCACAGTGGACCAGCACCCCTTCTGCAGAAGTGCTGAGGGTCCAGGCCAGAGAGCAAGCCCCTGTCCACCGAGCGGAAGGCCCCGTCTTTGGGATGGCTTCCCAGTGGGTGCACCTCCCCCAGTTCTGTCCCCAAGGCCAAGGCTACCAAACAGGACACAGATCAGACAGCAAAGACTCCCCGCCCCTCAGATGAAAGCAGGTGTGTGTGACAGGATCCTGGCTAGGAGGGGGGCAGGGAGGGACCGCCCTGAAATGCATTCCCACTTCAATGTAAATGCACCACACCGGTTAGGGGGAGCACCCAGCAGGGGGCAGCAGACTGCTGTTGGCCCGTGTACTGTAGGGCAATCTAAGGTTTTGACTGCCAACCTGGTGTGAGGGGTTGAACGGGTCCCTCACACTTCCTGCGTTGAAGTCCTAACCCCAGTGTCCCGGGACATAGGTTGACCCGGACACAAGCATGTGTAGGAGCAGTTCCTTGAGGTGAAGTCCCTGGGGCGGGCGTTTGGCCTAGCAGTTAGACACCCGCGTCT